CCCTCCCTCACGAACCCTTGATAAGTTATAAATTGTTATTATTTTTTCATGCCTTACACTGACCAATGTCTCCCTTCACCCACTTTTTTCTGTTGTCCGTCCCCCTGGGAAGGGGTTATATGTTGATCATTGTGATATTTCAAGATTGAAATATCATTTTAGGTTAAGAATGCAAGGCCATTTTTGTCATTCCCAGCACAGTAATTACATTACAGCTCACTCACACCTAGACAGCAGTTCTCAACCTGTTGGTTGTGACCCCTTTGGGGGTCCAGTGACCCTTTCACAGGGGTCTCCTAAGACCACCAGAAAACACATATTTTTGATGGTCTTAGGAACCTAGACACCACTCCTCTATCTGTCTCCAGGTGGATCCACCCACATGCAGATATGCTGATCTGGTGAGAAAGAAGGTACCTCAACCTTTGCACTGACGTTGGCTTTTTATACATACTGTCGCAGAATGTAGCTATGTAGTTTAGGGTTGTTATATTAAGACTGTTGCCCATGCTACACCATGCTTCCAAATAAATTTCATTTATTTGCAATTAGAAATAAATATTTCACAGTATAGAATTACATGTTTTGTGATTAATCACTATGCTTTAATTATGTTCAACTTGTAACAACGAAAATACATCCTGCATATCAGCTATTTACATTATGATACATAACAGTAGCAAAATGATAGTTATGAGGTAGCAATGAAAATAATTTTATGGTTGGGGGGTCACCACAACATGAGGAACTATATTAAAGGGTTGCGGCATTAGGAAGTTTGAGAGCCACCAACCTAGATCTTCATGCATTCCATTTCATTTTTAAAGGACTTCTAATTTTCCTAGATTCATATTTCACATTAGCACCCAAACCTGATGTTATTAAACTATTTCCTGATATTTCATTAAAAAATTAGGTTAATGACTACATTTACGAGGAAATAATTAGAATATCAATTTTGGTTGTTGTTTATGAGGCAAAGCCTTTCTTTCGTAATGATTGTGTCCTGGGGGAGGTTTTTCTATTGTTTACAAGGCTATGATAATTTTTGTACTACAAAGGCTTAAGACTTTTCCTATGAATACTTTATTATCAAAAAGTATTAATGGATAGTATAAAAATAAGGGTAATATCAAAATATGTGATAGAGGCTACTGATCATATATATATCAACTGAAGGGTGGGATCCTTAGGTCCCCTACCCACTAGGATTGGTGACCCTTCCTTTGTGGAAGGAGAGTGGGTCTCCACAGTTGGGGAGTGAATATTTGGGTGCCAGAGGAAAGTGGTTTTCTATCAACCAATCAAGGCTGATGGGATAGGCACTCTGTTTATAGATTTGATCTCATTTGCACCAAGCTCATTTTCTCGCAGCACGTGTTTCGATTTCTTTTGTTTTAAATAGGCTTCTCAGTGACGTGTTGACATGGGAATACTTTACTGCTCACCGTGGCTTCCCATCCCCATGCCACCCATCCTTCAACACCTGCTTCTTTTGGTGTGACAGTAATTTTTCTTTTATACTAGTGGTTTCACACAGTATTTACCTTTGACATTTACTAACTCCGCTGAGCCTGATAACCAAATGTGTCCATGTTGTGAAGCGTTTGATGGTTTCTTATTTTTTCTAAGATGTCTAGTATTACAATGTCTGTATGTATCAGAGTTTATCTATCCAAAGGCAGTGGGTGGGCTCCCTTCCCCACGGAGATCAGAAGCCAAAGGATCACACAGCTGAGAGGCTGAGAATGACAGAGACTTGGCTGCTGCCTAAGGAGAGTCTATGGACAAAAAACCCCAAAAAAACGTTGATGCTTAATATTTTCTGACACTGGATTGTGGTAACCTGTTAACTCCACTTATCAACTTCCCTCTGTCATTGTGACCATTCTAAGAGTCTGGTTTAGGCGCTGCCATGGTTATTTAGCAGACCCAGCAGGAAAGTTGAGTGTTAAGCCATTGGTGCCAAACCGGTTATGTGAAGGAC